TATTCGTTCACGGGACAGTAGATGTCAGTAATGAGGCAGAGATACCAAAATCAGCGCTACCTGAGATGGGAAGCAAAAATCCTGATTTTATGCTTTTAAATGACAGGGATGAACAGATAGTTGCTGTTTATGTGACTGAATTAAGAACAGGAGTGAACGTAACGTTGTGTCTGCTTTGCATGTTACGTCCTTTCTACATAATAGGATTTTATTAGTGACTCATAAATAAGCCTTCAAAATCATTGTCGTCGTATCCAATAAGAAATGTCACTGTTGTATCCAGTAGGTGTGCTTAGTCCTGGTTATTCTGAGTTGAAAAAGTCTCATTTAACATATGCTTCAACCTCTGTTTCCTTTCCTTGTGTCAAAACTAGGGTACACTGCAAACTTAATGGACAGCTCAGTGTGTTCATTCCTTCTAGTGATAGAATATAGCTTCAGGTGATATTTCATTTTACCTCTTTGATAAAAAAAATAGAGGGGGGGGAATAGAGCATTACTTATATTCTAGTTATAAAACTCCACGTATAATCCATTTAAAACTGCATTTGAACTTTCCAGCTGAACATAAAGGGAAGTCCAGATAAAGCATACGCAGTGCCAGGAAGGGTAGTTTGGTTTATTTTTATATATATATGTATGTATTAATGTATGCACTGTAGTTAATGAGATTCATATACAGATAAATAAATATATATAACTATACCTATATATACTGAAGTCTTGCTACATTGTACACTGGCTAAAGAAAAACCCTTCACTTTATGGTTAAATGATGTGGTTCTTGATGCATCGCATGTACAAATTGGCTTTTCGTGAAAGCCCCAGCACGTCACAGAAAATCTCTAACCACACTTATGTATCCCATGGTTCATTGGAGTTGCCAAGTGCCCCATTTTGCATCAGTTAGGTGTCTTCAGAGCAGCACGCTTCATTCCCACCATGGCTCTTATGGTTAACATTGAGAATGTTATTGGGCAGATGGAAGACAGGTATGAAGAAGCCCAGGAAGAAAGACTTGGCTAGTACGGTACTGATTTAAAGAATCTCGTTGGCAGAGAACTTACCACGTCCCCTGAAAACCTTTTTATTGAGTAGACAAAAACATCCTGTTTCTTGGTTGGAGTCTTAAATTTGAACTTCACCTGCTAGATCCTGTATTTGTAGTTGCATGACGGGTTAAATACAGCTTTAGGATTAGACAAGTTGTAATTACATAGGCTGTCATCAAAACTGTCTTCAGCCATTATTCAGTAATCTAAACAGAATTTTCTTACAGGTAATTGTACATTTAATGGTCATCCCCCACCTTGGCAGTGTTGTTCCTGTGCCTCTTAGTTTTCTACCCAGCTTCTTCAAAATACAATCACAGAATAGTTTGGGTTGGAAAGGACCTCTAAAGGTCATCTGGTCCAACCCCCGTGTGTCAAGAACATGTCAAGTGTGTCAAGAATGCTGTTTGCGAATGGGGATAATTTGACTGTGTATAATTTTGTGCCTTCAGCTTTGAATCTCTTGTCGAGCTCCAAATCTAAGTCTTATCATCACATTTTTCTTCCCTGGATGCTTACGCGTTTAGGCAGGTATAAAAATGTCCGTCTGTAGATGGCATATCTACTTCTCAGGCTGAAAGACTGGGTGAATATTTCTGTCAGAAGTGGTTCTTCCTAAAAGTTGTCATATCAGTTTAAGTTGTTCCAAAATGCTGCCTTCTTAAAGAAGAAGTCAGTTTGGGAAACTGCCTCACTCAGAGCTTTACGAAGCCCTTACTCTTGGTCATGTTTACTTTCAGTCCCTTGGGAGATTGTAAATCTTGGATTTTGCAGGAGAGGTTAGTATCTTGTGCAGAGCTGTCAAATTATCTTTTAAATATGGAAATCCATACTTTGCTGCAACACATTTTTTCCTTAGCTGTCTGAGGCTGTCAGAAGATATTAAACTTGGTCTTAAGTACCCTCTGAATCAGATTCTTGTTCACAATACAAAGTAAAAATACTGTACAGTTAAGTTTATGTGACGTTCATACTTTAAATCTGGTGGGTAATATCAGAGGCTCTTGTATTTGATCTACGTGGTTCCTCTGAGTATTTTTGCCATTTTATTGCATTGCCCTATCAAGGGAGTATTATTTATATGATATAATCCTCATTTGGTTCCAGTTTATTAAATGAAAGGAATGTGTTAGGCAGTAAGTTCTTAAGAGGTCTGGAATCTGGACTGTAATTGAATCCATTCACTCTCAGCTAATTTATGTAATCTGATGAGAAACAAGTGTAATACAATTTGTTCAAAGAAAATGGAGAATGTTCACGCTATGGAACAATAGCAGAAAGTTCTCTGAATGAAGAAGCACAGCAAAAGACGAAGTTTGGGCTCCCTTCTGTCTGATCAGTGGTACTTTGAGCATCTGTCCTAGTGAATGAGGATGACGTGACCGTCTTGCAGTAGAATTGTACTATTTCAATTTTGTGTGAAATCCTGCCCTGATTTTTCATTAGTTTTCCGTGGCAGCGTGCTAGATGTGGTATCTTTGATACTGTACGCTGTAGTGTTTTGTCTTCACGCTTGGCCTGTGTGGCTGCAGTGTTTTCATTTCTTCTTGCTGGTGTGCGCATTCTTTTCTAAAACAGAGCCAGGTAAGGAGCCATTTACTGTAGAACACGGGTCCTAGTTTTTCCCCTGAACTAATGGTCTGAAATCACTTACTTATCTCATCAGCAGTGAAACTCATTTGGTTTTGGCCCTGGCACGCATCAGTCTGAGCATGGGAGGTCCGGCATTCAGGGCTTTGTGGTGATGCACCTCGTTTGTGATAGAAGTGCATCATGATACACGGGTGCTTTCAGACATGGCATGTTGTTCTTTGTTATTGGCAAGAACCATCCCATCAGCTTCTGTCCTTCTCCTCTTGTAGTTCAGCTGTGGTCTGTTTTGGCTGCAAGTGGGCGCAGCATTTGGCAGTCATTCATTAACTGGGGTTGGAATTCCCTCCCATTTTATTGTCAGGTATATTCTAAGATACCATCTGTTAATCTGTAAAGACCTGTAGGCCAAATCACGGCCAGCAATACGTTCCTAAGTGTGGGGCGTGAGGCAACTTCTCCCTTCCCTGCTGTACGCCGTACGCTGCAGATTTGAGAGCAATTTACAGAAGAGCGCTGCTCCTACCCCACTTATCCAGGCGAGAGCTGCGAGAGAAGTCGTCACATTTTCACGCTTTGAGGCATGGGCAGTCTCACCGTGCCAGGCAGAAGATGTGCAGAGAACTTCTCCTCCCTCGAGGAGCAGGCGGCGGGAGCCGAACTGAACTCCAGCTGTGCCCCAGCTGCGCCCTGGGAGCAGCGAGGCAGCAGCCACCCACCTGCAGGGGTTGTGGTAATCCCAGAATCCAGCCCGAAGCCTCTGGAAATCGTTTCTCCCCAGCCAGGGCATGCTCTGTGGCTGCCTGTAAATTAATTGATTACAGCAGCTAGAGGTAGGAGCAGATCACCTACAACGGGCAGCATGAGCCTGTACGTGATGGCACCTGTTACTGTGGATCTCCTTCCAGCTTTCAGAGAGCAGGATGTTGAATGGGAGTTAGAGGAAAACAGGCTGTATTTGTTTTGGTGTTTTCTGTTTTGTTGATCAGGAAGGGTTTTTTTTACAAATATAACAGGAGGTTGTCCTTGTGTTGACAGATGCACAGTTAGCCATTTCTCCAGTTGCCCTGATGGTTTGTTTACTTCAGTTGGCTCTGAAAGGGAACCCTTTGGCAACTCACTCTTGGCGTGTATCTGCGGACCCCATTCATTGTCCGTTTGGTGTGTCACTCTTCAGCTACCCCAGCTGATGCAAGAGAAGTCAGCTTCTCAGTAGTGTTGAACGCCTGCAAATCAGAAGCTCATTAGTGTCTCTATCGATCGGATGCTATGGATATAGACCACCAGTTAAGTCCAAACGTCATTTCTGGAAAAAGGTGAAAACATCTGGAGCTTCCAAAATGTGCAGTCTCCAATCTTGGAGAGGATCAGCAGACTCC